CAAAAATTTAGCATGAGCCACATTGTCTGCTGCATAATTGCTCATATCAAATCCTTCTGAAGAAAAGTTAATGGCAACATTCAATTTGCCTCTGAATCTTTCCGTTGGAGAGAATCTTTTTAAATAAATTACTAAAATACGGGGAAACTTATGGATTGATAGGGACTTTGTGCACCTTGAACAGGTTGGTTTTTCATCTCCATCCAGGGTTTCCTCTTTTGTGAGGAAATCCAAGCATTGTGACAAACTCAATTGGCTAGTTTTTTGTGATATAGGGAGAGACAAATCCACAGTGTGTGCACTTCATAGTAGATTTCAATTGACCAACGAAATTGTCTACAATCTTATACTTTCAGTATATTGACCAAAATCAATATTGATCCAAAAATGTTATACTGTTTTTTGGGTTTATAACCTTCTACTTAAGAAAGCTTAAGTATCAATATTTGATACTTTGAATATATATTCAAAATGTAGGTATCTATTTCCAGAACTTTTACCAATATTTTTTTCATTATCTGAATTTGTGCGAGCAGAAAAAGGAAATGATTAATTTTTTTTTCAGAACACAAGTGAATGAACTTGTAGACTTCCTCCATAACGCCAAAAAAACCATCACGTTTGAAAACCTCCATCAATCAGAATTTTCATAATTGTTGTCTTTATTATTCACGTCTCGAAAATACAATCGAGCCTTCTAATTTGATGCGTGTTTTGCCTGTAAAGTTTTATCTCCGCTCAATAGTTTTACACCTTTAGTGATTTCATTTGCACTTATATAATACTTCGAAGGTAAAACGTTGTGTTTCGTAGGTGCAACATTGTATGATTCGTGGGGGATTTATTAAAGTTCTTCCAGTCCGTTATGGTTATGATTCTTTTGTGATGAATGCGTTAAATTTCATGTAAAAACATTCATAACCTCTATTATTGTCTAATAATGTAATTTTCCTAAAGTAATTCAACCTAGAGGAGAGTAAATTATAGTTATGGGTACTTAACCTCTATATTCACATTTTGGCAGTGGCTATGTTATGGGTAACGGTTTTTTTGTCCATAGCAACTAATGCCACTCATAATAATACACACCAAAGATAGTGGGTTTGTTTTGCTAAATGTGGTTGTTTTGTACCAGAAGTTATAGTTCAAGTAAAAGATATAGTGCCCTCTACCTTCCAGCACTTCCCCTTTAATAAAATAGTTAGGGATCTAACTAATTTTGTTTTTTAATAATCATTTCNCATCGTTAGGAAAAGTGCATAGAGCTTCAACGAGATTATGTTGAAAAATAAGTATTTTTTTTCAAAATTTCTGTATTTTTTTTGTTGGACCGAGTAATTCTGGAATCAACCTACGGAATCGGCCAAGTATAAGCTGATCTTAAAAGTGAAGCTAGCTCTATACTAAAACTTTCATTCGATTCTAATGAAAACAATGTTTCCGCATTATATGATGACTGAAACTACAGTCATCTCCTAATGATACTAACTTTGTTACGGAAACGCTCATCGAGAGATAGTACTTATTTTCTGGTGTGCCAGAGTGTTTTCCATTAGATTCATTTTACGCCAGAGATTCCAATTTCACCGATCAACATCGTTCCGTTAACTGATTGAAAAAGAAACCTGATACGAGCAACTTTCGATTTTGTTATGCTTTTGAATTTGAAATTGCGAAACAATGTTTGCGAGTTTGGTATTGTAATAATTTTTACACATTTTATTTGCCAGCGGTACACTGGCTCATGTGTTTTATGACCATCGTCACAAATTGAATCAACACATGTTCAATTTGCGTCATTCCGGTCATCAGCATCTAAATTTAAACAAAGCGTGCCTAATCAGCACTTCCGTCTTTCGAACCACCTATCATCGCATTCCATAGATTTCTAATTGAAAATATTTTGTTTCAGTTTTCCTCCGAAAATGGAAAGATCCCAGATAGTGAACTCGCTGGGATCATCCGAACACATGCAAGAACAAACCTATATTCAGGCACCGAGCTTCGTGCAGTCTCAAAATTATGCAAACACATCATCTGGTACGATGTACTGTAGATCGTCCCCTAACAATTCGGGGTACGTCTCAGTCAATCAGCCACTCCACAAGAAGGGATCGCTCAGAAATGGGGATGTGCTCAAGCGTTCCAGGGTTCAAACAACGTGAGTATGTTATACATTTCTATTCAATCAAGAATGGGCTGTTGTTAAAATGGTGTACTCTAAGGATCGATTAATGGTCCTCTTTTTTTTGGAATACATAAAACGATTTGTCTTATTTCATGCAATTTGATATAGTATGAAATGAATATATAAAGGGTGTTTGTGAATAAGCGCTACAAACTTCCGGGGGTGATTCTGCATGAAAAAATAATGAAAGTTTGGTATATAGCTTTTGTCCGCAAGCTTAACGATTAAAAATGAAGAAACGCTTATTTGACATTTCGTTGAACTATTCCTATTCAACTGAATGTTAGCAGTAGCCTGTTAGCGTCGCTACTAAATAATGTATACAAGAAATGAAAAATACGCGTTAAAATTGAAATACTCATCAATAAAACTCTTCATTGACCAAATTAATAGTCAAGGAATATATACTCTAGCAATATATTCCTATAAGTAGAAATCAGCAGGTTGAATTTCTTACGACACCTTCAATTTATCATGAAGAATAGCCGCGTTTTTTTTTGTTCAAAATTGGCTTTATCAATCAACTTAAGCACCATCAAGAGACACATAATCATTCCAGCGCCGGTCTAACATTTCAATACCACTTTTGTAGAACGATTTATCTTCTGCCTTGAAATACGCCTCAGTTTCAGCAATAACCTCTTCATTCCAATGAATAACTTTTTTCGAGATCAATTGCCCTAACACCAAACTGATATTTTTGCACTCGGCGCGCGTTCTCGAAAAAAGTTATTCAACTTTCACACCAACGGTTCCAATCTCATCGTTACTCTTCATTCCAGCTAAATTTCTTACCGGTGAGCATTTTTTGAGGTCTGTGAACAGCCAATAGTCGCTGGGAGTTAAATCTGGCGAATACGGTGGATGTGGCAGCAATTCGAAGTTCAATGCAAGTAGTTTTGCCACTGTTTTGATTGACTTGTGACACGGAGCGTTGCCTTAATGAAACACATTTTTTTCTTTGCCATATGCGGTCGTTTCTTTGAAATTTCGGCCATCAAACGCTCCAATAACGCTATATAATATTCACTGTTGGTGGTATTTCCTTTCTCAAGGTAGTCGATGAATATTACACCACACACATCCCAAAATACCGAAGCCATAACCTTTCCAGCCGATTGTTGTGCTTTCGGGCTCTTTGGACGAAGTTCACTAGTTGCTCTCCAATCAGATGACGATCGTTTTGATTCCGAAGTGAAGTGATGGATCCATGCTTCATTGTCACATATCGACACAAACATTCCGGTTTGTTATGTTTAAACATGGCCAAACACTACTCAGAATCATCAAGACGTTATTGTTTCTGGTCAACAGTGAGCTCGCAGGGTACCCACTTTGAACAGGGCCTTCTCATAGTCAAATGCTCATGCAATATAAAGTCAACCCGTTCTTTTGATACCGTTACAATGTCAGTTAACTCGCGCAACTTCACTTTTCGATCATTCAAAACGATTTTGTGGATTTTTTTATGTTTTCTGGTGTTACTGCCTCATTTGGACGTCCACTGTGTTCTGCATCATTAGTGTATCTTCGACCACGTTTGAAGTCAGCAAAAAAATTATTGTTTCTGATGGAGCGGAGTTCTTATAACTCTTTTCAAGCCATTACTTCGCTCGAACGGCATTTTTTCCCATCAAGAAGCAGTGTAAAATTAAAACATGAAATTGTTTTTGGGCCATTGTTTTGAAAATAACAAAAGTAGTATCACTCTTAGCACAACAACTCACAAACTTATGGATAGAATATCATGAAATTTCAATAGCTTTTTCTTTCGAAGGTTAGCACTAACTGGAAAAGCTGTGAATCCAATACGACTAGTGCCATCTATGTGTAAGGCCCGAGACTTTTCAGCCAGTGTAGGACGTTATTTTCATTTCAAATCAAAAGTAAAAAAATACTGTTATGTTAATAATAACTAGTGTCGCTCAAATTTTATTATTTGAATTTTCTTCTATGATGCTGATCACAAAAGAATATTAGGTTATTTCAAAAGTTTTGTCAGTTTTCATGAGTCTACTTTAAACTATAATGTCTCAGTGAATAATAATTCAATTTAATCGAAATAAGCGCCATTTACTTTTGCTAATGTATTACAAGTTGATTAATTTCATCAGCATAATAATTGGGTGCTCGATGAAGTCAACGAAGGCCGTTTGTGCCTGGTACTGATTGGTGAAAGTTCTATCGGTGAGAAAGTGCTTGAAAAGATGGTAGTCGGTTGGCGAGAGGTCTGGGGAGTATGATGGCTAAGGCAGAACTCTGACGCTCAATTCGTTTAATTTTTGGACTGTGATTTGTGAAACTTGCGGACAGGCGTTGTTGTGGAGCAGACTCGGACCTGTTCTATCGACTAGTTAAGGCTACTGATGACGCAATTCTCGGTACTTTACGTTGATTTCCTCACAATATGACTCTGCTGTGATCGTTTGGTTCTGTCGCAGAAAGTTGTTGTGAATCACATCAGCCGCTGACTACAATACAGCAACTATGTTCTTTTTTGGCGGGTTTCTGCCTTTGGGAAGTGCCTGGATGGCTCATCGGTATCCAACCACTGTCCTGAATGTCTTCTGTTGTCGTAGAGGATCCACTTTTCATCACACGTGACGATTCGATCAAAAAAGGATCGGTTTTGGTTGCACAAAATTAAAGAAGAACCGTCCTCGAAACGTGACACCTTCTGTTGAGCCTTCAAATCGTTGGGCACCCACCTTTAGAGCTTTTTGACCTTTCCGATACGCTTTGAACCATCAAAAACCGTATGAGTTCTGACGCCCAGTTCTTCGCCATCCAACGCACCGTTGTGATTTGGTCAGTCATAACCAGGGTCCTTGAATACTCGTCCTGGATTACTGTAGGTCGACCACTTCGAGGCTCATATTGGAGGCTAAAATCTGGTTAATTTTTCGGGCTACTTCGGCAGTGTTTTGATTCAATTTGAATTCGTAGAGAAAAATTGGCCGAAAATCGCCCAACGACACCATAAAGTAATAAGTTGAAAAGAGACAAAACATTAAAATTTGGAAAACTTGAACAGCATCAATGTATGGAGTTCAAAATTCTCTATCGATCAGTATATACCACAATACAGTAGATTACATAATTATTGATATATGGAGCTACAAAAACACATGATATTTAAACGGATAAAACTTTTGAAACAATCTAATAGCTCGAATTTCGACCATAAAATACAATTATACATTGTATATGTAGATGTAAAAGTTTACAGGAGATTTATTGAATTCCAATGAATGCAAACGTTGAAAATCCGTTAGCCGTGCATTATACTTCAACGGATTTAACAGTAAATTAGTTTGAAATTTTTCGAATTAGAAAGTGTTATTGTCGATTATCGTTAATCTGAGAATGATAATACCAATTTGTGGTCAGTAATGCAGAACAGTCATTTTTACCATTCGATAATTTATACAATCATAAAACCGGGGCGGCGCGGCGCCTGATTTCTACGCTTCTATAACACAAAATCTGTGCAGAAATTCAAGATAATTATCATAGTGTATTGGAGGAATAGCTCCATTGATTTCAAAACCTTCAGAATTTCGTGGAATTTGTGTATATTTACAAAGGAACTGAAGTGTAGATGCCTTCAAAAGAAAAACTATATTAATGTTTGATTTTTTTTAGATACTGGGTGTCCTAACGAAATAAAGAGACACAGCAAAATCTGTAAAAAGTTTGTTCAAAGTTTTGTTCAAAGCAAATACATAACGAACGAACTAGTATATGTTTGTTTGAAATGGTTAAAATTTTTACTAGTTTTTTGGTGCAAAATTGATCAGTATGATCAGTATGATTTAATGACAAGAAAATAATTAACTAAATTTATGCTAAACAATTAGGTAATACAAATCTGTAAGTAGTACTAGTACTCTTTATGAGGCTAGAACCATAAAAAAAATGATTTTTTTGTTTGGTTACGTAGGTGGCTGTGATTTCAAATCTGAGTTGTTTTCAAATTTTAACAACTTTCCTTAATAAACTTTTTTAATAATGCCGAAAATAAGGGTAGTTTACTCCTGATCAACATTTCTATTTTTTGTTCTCCTCTGTTAGGATGAGTCCAAAATGAGTGGGTCTATTCGACCCTCCACCGCAACCCGCAAGGGTTTATTATGGCTCATAACTATTCACACTCTACCAAATAAACCCAGCTTTTTGACGAAGCCGATTAGTTCATATGGTGAGTGATCTTTCAGGTCAGATGGTGAGAGTACGGCTCTGCCGAACTCTAAAAACCTGATTTGGTCCTCAGCGGGGCAGGCACAAAGTATATGCTCCGCTGTTTCATCATTTTCCGAACAGAGGCGACACACACTGTCTTTCGACAGTCCGAGTCTCTGCATATGATGATTCAAATGACAGTGAGCTGTAAGAAGGATGTTAGATATCGTAGTTCATCCTTACTATAGTCCAACAACTGTTTGGTATCAAGCTTCGAAGATTCCACCAGAAGTCTATAAGTCTTCTTGCCATCCAGGTGTTCAATCTTTGTTTGGCAAAGCCTATGCCAATGACAGGTTCTGATCCGATGAAGCTGCTTGCTTCCCTGTACAACATTCGGAAATTTGGAATTTTGATAACTCAAATCCAAGTTTCCCGCAATGCACTGTATATACAGGATTGAAACAATTCGTTTAGGAAAACATGAGCAGCATCAATGTATAGAGTACAAAATTCTCAGTATATACCAAATACCAAGACACAGTAGAATGAATCTTTTGATGTGGACCTACAAAAACACATGACATTTAAACGGCCAAAACCTAATTATTATCTTATATAAATATCTATCGGATATAATTCAATGTTCAGCGTGGTATTAGCCGGGAGAGTAGTTATTTTCTGTCAGTAATTTATCAGTACCTACTGTTGTAGGTACGTTGGTAGAGACTAATGTTTCGGGATCTGTAGAGTAGGGAGGGTGAGTGTAGACTCACAGCACTTAGACCACATGTGACCCATGGTACATCCTCCCCAGGAGTTGTCCTCTTAGGTCATCGCCAACCTGTCCTTTCCAGGAAGGTGGACAGGTCACTAGGAGACATCTCCTTTATATTGGCAGAAGTAGGCCAAGACTCGCCGAACACACACTCTCTTTGGCAACCTTGAGGTGTCTCACGGTGGACTCCGCGAAGGTTTTGGAAGGTGCAGCGATATTATTATCGTTGCGCGGCTTCTTCAACCTTTTTTGGGTTCCCTCCGTGGAGGTGCAAAAGTGAGGGAGCTTTCCTGCAGGGGCAGCCGGTTCCTTGCCTTTATTCAAGTGGAGCTCTTGGCTCCCGCCGCAGGAAGTGCCCTTGCTATTAGAGGTGATCTGAAATGTCCAGCCTCATTTCAAGCGGTAGTTTGGGGTGGATATTTCTGTTCATCCCCAGCCACCGCCATAGATTGAGGTGACCACTTCTGTTCAGCCTCGGGATTGGCTTTTGTTTTTGTTGTTTCATTCACGAGTAGCAAGGGAAGAGTTGGCCACCTCTGGCAGAGCCTCACATTACCAGAGGTAGGCTTATTACAATGAGGTTTCGCCCGATTCCCCAAAGGGGATCGTTCGTGACTGCATTCACCCTGCGGCCATTCAGCTGTCGGCACGATTCCTTACACCTTAGCTTGGGTAGGCTGATCCACGGTGGCATGTTTTGCAAAGGCTTTTGTGTGGGGTTTTAGTTCCCCTCACCCTACTTATTTCTGCCACTGACCAGGACTCCAGCGACCCCGTCCGTAAGGCCACATTGGCTTCCCGGACAGGGCCTCCAGTCCCCCGGCCGTTCCCCTATCCTCCACCTGGGGACGCGCCCGATAGGTAGCCCAACCCACGGGATGTTTCGGGATTAATTCAATAGGACAAAATACGTACGTGCATGTCACTGTTTTTTTCAAAATCGGCTGGTGCGGCCTATCCGAAATTTTACCACTGATCTTGTGTACCCTCCCGTGAACTCTGAAATTTATTCAACATCATCTAATAAATTACCCATTTTGAAAAACTAATTTGACAAAACCCGTACAGGAATTTATGACCTCTGCATATGGAGGTCACTTATCCGAAACTGAAAATGTTTCCTGTCCCAATTTTATGTACGTCGATTGGTTAGACAAGATTCCAGTCGTAATTCTTAATATCTAAATTATGAAAGCCACATGTAAAAACTTTTGGCAGATTATCCCCTCAACAAGTGTTATTGTTTTTATATTTCCAAGATTTCTACATGCACTACCTACAACTGGCGGCTGAAACTCTTTTTTTTTACTTCAGGACTATAAAAATCATACATATGACCCGCCAAAAATTTAGCATGGCCGTTCGGTTCACAAATGAAGAAGTGCAAATTGGCTTGCCATAAAGCAGTGATAATAAAATCACTAAGATTCTCTTATCACAGTCACACTTCGTTCAGCTGCACAACTTTCGCTATTTTAATGAATAACATTGTGCTTTGATTTGTCATTTGTAGGTACGAACTCTCTCAGGATATCCTGGATAAGCAGATCGAAGTGTTGGAACGCAAGTATGGAGGTGATAGGGCTCGAAGTGCAGCGTTGACAATTCAAAGGGCATTTAGAAGATACACTTTACTCAAAAAGTTCGCAGCTATAACTGCCATGGCCAAAGCNTAAAAGTGGCTGATATCTATAAATGGAGAATTTGATTGTTTTCTTGATTGCATTTCCAAAATCGTGGTTATTTTATAAAAGGTTATGTGAAATTGATCTTTTTTAGTTCAGGCTTCTTTTGAGTTCTAAAATTCTAGTTTTGAAACTTTTAGACGTTTTTCCTATATACACTTTTGGACGCGATACATGTTAGCTTGTAGATTTATTGCCCCTGTCAACGTCTGACAAGTTGTTCTTTCTATGTCTACCTACCAGTCTTCTATGCTATGTTAATGTCTTTTATTTTTTCCGGTGATTTTCCAGTATATGTGCGGTGCGTGTTTTGTAAGTGATAAGTGAATACGAGGATTTGTATGGTTTTTGGGTAACATTTCATATATGAGCTTGTTTGTATGAATCTTCTGGAGGAAAGCTTGGGAATAACTTTGTGACATTGTAAGAAACCAATTTGGAATTAGGTGGAAGTTGAATATTGGAAACGTTTTTATCAGTTCACGCGAGTTTTGGAGACTGACTGAATATGAGAAGTTGGTATAGTTTTCAATGGTATTTAACAGAAATTCAGAAAGTTGATATGATGATGCTGTTTGAAATTATAGGGACTACTGGTCTGATAATGTTGTTTATGAAGCTTAATAAATGAATATAGTTGCGGAGTTTGTGGATAAGACGTGATGTATTTGTATCTATGTTCAAGTTTGATAACGGAAATAGTTAGTTTGATGGAGTTCTTTACTACAGTTAGAAATTTTTTAGAAGTTATATTTTCACCATAACATGATTTAAACTTCACATGATTTGTTTGATTAGTAAAAATTTCATATACCCTGCATTTTCATATGTTCGTGAAATAATCATTCCAAATAATTTTGCTTCAAACTGTTTTTAATTACTTTCAGGCTCAGAACAGCAATGTGGTGAATATTCTCGTAGCTTCGAAAATCACGATTGTAGCTCTTTGCGAATGCTTCCTGTGAGATCAATGTCACTTCGCGAAAGGAGACACATCGATAACATGCCAATACCTCGAAGTCAGTCAGGCACGCCAACAGTTTGCTGGGAAAACTATTCTTCATCTTCTCTCCAACACTACTATTCAGCAGCAGACAGCAAGTCCGATTGCGCATCTACGCAAGTCACCCCCAGCGGCAGCTCTTGTAGCAATCCAACGACGTCTTCTAACGGATACTCCAGGTCTAGGAATAGTTTGAGCAACAGAAAAGTCCCTCCCGAAGTGCCGAAGAGAACCTCGAGCATTTCGTCCAGATCTCTCGAAGCTAGACATCAGAAAACAAACGGTCTCATTAAAACAACAGAAAACGGTTCCTTGTCCAGCGTGCAGAGTTCGGGAAGCGACAGCAGCATCTCCACAGAACGCATACAGTGCGATTATGCAAGTTCTCCTATTTGGAAGCGAAAAGGCAATCACATGTCTGAGTATGCTGAACCCGCACTGGAAACGAGTTTGGGAAACATCTCCAACGCTAGTTCTTCCACGTACACTCTGGTGGAAAGAGCTACAGACCACCAGCAAACGCCGACCAGCTATAAGATCTCCGAGACTATTAGAAAACGACAATACCGCGTAGGCCTGAACTTGTTCAACAAAAAGCCAGAAAAGGGCATTGCCTACTTGATCCGCAGAGGCTTCCTGGAGAACTCCCCGCAAGGAGTTGCGAGGTTCCTCATATCCCGCAAGGGACTGAGTAAGCAGATGATCGGGGAGTATTTGGGCAACTTGCAGAGTCCGTTTTGCATGGCAGTGTTGGAATGTTTCGCCGGAGAGTTAGATCTATCTGGAATGCAGGTTGATGTAGCTTTGAGAAAATTCCAACAGCATTACCGTATGCCTGGTGAAGCACAGAAGATCGAGAGATTGATGGAGGTGTTCTCGCAGAGATACTGCCAGTGCAATGTGGACATAGTGGCGAGATTGAGATCTCCTGATTCGGTAAGACTAGTAGCAATAGACTCCTGTGAGTTGCACTTTTGCCAAAAACCAAGTTGACTTCATCTCCTGAATACGCCAACTTGGTTGGTAAAACGTGCATCAAAAAGAATATTGAAGTTATGGTGTTTGGGAAAAGTGCTTGATTTGGATTTATTCTATGTCAGAGGTTCCAGTTATACCTTCAATTGACTCGCCATGTTTAGAGGTGGGCTTTGTATTATAATTGAAAATGCTGGAAATAAGTTGACAAAAAAAAGTCATAAAAAACTGATTCTTTATATAAATATGATGGCTGTTGTTTAAACTTGATAAATAACTTTGTCCCTGCTTCAAAAGGAAAAGACTTTGTTGCTTCGACTATTGGTTTTTTCTCAACTATCTGTTTGTTGACAATTTTCTACAGACTTTTTAATTTTTTCTGGCACAAGAAAAAAATGGAGATATTCCTTTAGAAAAAAATCCATATCTCTCACAATATATGTATTTAATAAATGTGTCAAATGTTTTCCTAATTGTACCCATATTTCCAGATTTTCGTCCTTGCTTTCGCCATAATAATGCTAAACACCGATTTACATACGCCTAACATAAAACCAGAGAGGAGGATGCGCGTCGAAGACTTCATAAAAAATTTACGAGGAATTGACGACTGCGGAGACATTGACACTGACATGCTAGTAGGGATCTACGAGAGAGTGAAGGCCAACGAATTCAAACCCGGTTCAGATCACGTAACACAAGTCATGAAAGTTCAGGCTACCATAGTTGGAAAGAAACCTAACATGGCTTTACCACACCGCAGGTTGGTGTGCTATTGCCGTCTCTATGAAATACCAGATATTTCCAAAAAAGAAAGGCCTGGCGTACATCAAAGAGAAGTCTTCCTTTTCAATGATTTGCTTGTGATCACCAAGATCTTGAGTAAAAAGAAGTCTTCGGTAACTTACACCTTCAGAAATAGTTATCCGCTTTGCGGCATGGTGGTTACGCTGTTTGATGTACCATGTAAGTTGATTTTTTTGTGATTACATTTATTTTATCTCTCACACTGTCACTTGTTGATTATGTATTGCAAAGAAGAAAAACAAGCCTAAAACATGTTTTTTTCCCAATTTTGAAATTTACAACCAAAAAATTTCTATTAAATACCCCGGCTTGAAACAGATCGGTTTCAAACCAGGTCATAGTGACAATTTTGCTGTACCAAAAATTATTCCTGGCTTAACTGTATCTGTTTTTATATTACAAGAATATTCTGAAGCCGTTGATACTCTCAAATATAGTTTTACAAACTCTATTTGAGCAATATTACTCTGCCAGTATTATGTGACGACAAAGTTTCAAAATATTTAGAAATTGATAAAAGGGGTCCCACAAGGATCAATGTTGGTGCCAGCACATCCTATATACGTGTAATTTCATTAAGTTTTTTAATGTATAAATCAGTACTACGTTGATGATATGCAATTATAGTTATAGAAAAGTAATAATAGTAGTGGTTTATAGATTCCAGATTGGAATTGGTCCTGTAGCACTTTCTGATAAATTTGGGACTGTGGGTTTGTAACTGATCAAAATATAAGATTTTCCTGTCATGATAGTACATGTTCACAAAAAAACTATTGTAATCTCAAACGGATCTATCAATATAAAAAAGTCACTTTGTTATAACATATAAGATATTCACCTAACACAACAAAACTGTGACATGTGTTCCATTATATAATTGCTTCTTCAGACTTTTTAAGCATTAAATAACAATTTCTTCATCAAGAATACTAATAATTATATATTGATTTGAATCTTAATGACTATCACTACATGACACACTTCTACCTAATAAATATACACTACTTAATAAATGTTCACCATTCTAAGAACAAATTCAATAAACCGAGCATATAATAACCGGTGACCTCATATTACCTTAAGATTTACCCCAATCACCAATTTCATCATTAGAAGACAAATTTAATGAAGGGACATTCTTGAATCTATTGATTTTGAAGCAATTCAAAAGATTGAGTTTTAAACATTTCCAAATGTAATAGTCCTGATTGAACTCATCTCTTTCTGTCGAACGATAGTTTGCTAATGTTCAATTGGTGTTTCTCATTTAAAAAACTATTTCAATGTTCTTTCATTCTTTTGGGGAAAGTTATTTCAGTTTGGCCAATATCAATGTTGGTACAAGAAGTATTTATATTGGCTAGAAGACAGAGGAGCATGAGTTCAATTGTGGTTACTACAGAGAAAGGTGTTAAACTCATCTTTTAGAATGCTTAGAAATCGATATATGTATTTAGGAATATGGAACTGTTATTCAACTACTGAATAGATTTGAATAATTTCCCCTTATAGAATTTGTTTTGTAACAATGAAATTGGTAATTGGAGTAGATTTTAATTAGGGTTATATTGTAGGTAGTTTTGTATTAATTATATCCATTTTGGTGATTTTGTTCCTAGAATTAAAAAAAAAATTATGTAATACATTTGTGAGGTATTAGAGTCAATAAGATTCAAGTTACTATATTATATAAAAGCATGCTGTAGAAATTATTAGTTAGTACTGAACACACGTGAAGAAGTCAATGTAAAGTAAAATATATGTCGTGGTTGTGTAAACTGTTGAGTGAAAATCTTACAATAAAGTATTATCTCAATATAAACGAAGACTAACTAAAAAACTTATAGTTAGGCAATGAATCGTTATAATAAATTGTCTAATTGAATCAAGAATTTGGGAAAATCAAAAAAAGAAATAAAAATATGGTACTGTCATCAATTTTTGAAATAGTAGTAGTAATTGGTTTCCGGGTTTTACCGTGATCTTCTTTGGGTATTAACTCCAAACGTTTCAACTGCAACTGCGGCAGTCATCTTCAGTGGTGTGGTCGCCACTGTTGATACGTCAAGAAGAGTACTTCGACTACACCACTGATGATAACTGCCGGAGTTACAGTCGAAACGTTTGGATATTATAACCAAAGAAGACCACGGCAAAACCCGGAGGCCAGTCAAAACAATTAAGCCTGCCGTGAAAGCCTACATTCCTATAGTAGTAGTAGTAGAAGTTTATTCAACCATATTATGTATATTTATACATTTATGACAAGTCAGAAATAGAAAACACATAGAATAAGGTTTATTATATTTATCATTCACTTCAATCTTTTCATTATTGTCAAATATTTCTTCACACTTAGAAAGACATAAGTAGAATTACTCATGTAGTGATATCCTGTATTGTTATGTGAAGTATGTGAATTATTTTCAGATTATCCATTTGGTATAAGGCTAAGTCAACGTGTAGATCAGAAAATCCTAGTTACATTTAATGCCAGAAATGAACATGACAGGTGTAAGTTTGCAGAGGATCTGAAAGAAGCAGTCAGCGAAATGGATGAAATGGAAAATCTGAGAATCGAGGCTGAATTAGAAAGACAAAAATCAAACAGAGGGGGAAACAGAACAGGTGAGAAGATATAACTCGTCACCTAGAATATTCTGGGACACAGTGGATTAATTCAACACATTTTTTCAATTTTTTTATTGACTAGCGATAAAAATTTGGTACAAAACAGTTCTGAAGCTTCTCCTAAGTCAGAGTTTTCAAATTTATAGTGAAAATAAAAAAAAATTTCATTACCCAGTCAATTTAAATATTGATGATACTTCCATCATGTTTAGCCAAAAATTGATCCAACAGCAGACCTTATATTGAAAAAATTAATAAATGATGAGTGACACACAAAAAATATGCCTGCTAATTTCTCATTTGTACCTCCTTCATTTCTCACAAATATTTTTGTAATGTTAATTAAGAAACAGGGATAGGATGTTGATATGTATTTGATTCGATTCTTTTATATTTTGATGAGCTTATGCTTGTGAGTAAATAAATGCATATTAAACTTATCAGTTGTCACAAATTAGTTAAATTTAAGAAGCTAATTTTTTGTTCATTTCTCACACCCACTAGAAATTCAAGTATTATGTTTACTGAATAAACTGTTTCTATGTATCTAGATATTTTGTGATCACATATTCAATAAACATAAACATATTTCCTTATATGTGACTTCATAAACAAATCTACATCTAGATCATTTTATTTTAGGTACAGAGAACCGAGACAGCGGTGTAGCTGACGTGGAGGTTTGTCCTTATCAGTGCCCTTGTTCGCAAAACCCCTCTATGAGCGCCAATGAGGAAGAGACCCAGCATGATCCCCAGATCAAACGTTCAGCACTCAGCAATTCTCTTCTGGACATTCACGAACAGTGTAAGTTTTGAGTGTATTCAATGATCGCCGTTGTATTTTCACATTAGTGTAGTTGCAGGAGAAAAAGCGCAGAGAAGGGGCAGCGTCGGCTCATTGGATAGCGGCATGTCTGTCTCATTCCAATCGACGTCTGCAAGCACTTGTTCACGTTCGGACAAGCTGACAGGCAAGGGAGGAAAGCCGAATATACACAACCCTCAGGGTTTTCTTGGAGGACTCTTTAACAAAAAACAAACGAGCAATACTGTCAAATCGACGGAGGTGTAGTTAATTATGATTAAATGACTATAGGGTAGATTCGTTGAACACCCAAATACGAAGCTCGCGAGAATTTTGAGGGGTTCACCAAAGGTTGGGAGACGTTTTTTCAGGTAGATTTGTCTTCGAAAAATCCGTCAGTTATGTTCAATTCTGATATGTTCAGAATACTGTAATTGACAATCTATTGAATAGACCAAGAGTTTAAATGAAATATTGAGAATCGGAATTATATTACATCCATGAAATTTTTAGCACTCTTTCTGTTTTTAGAAAGTGCAAAAAATGGCATAACTTTCAAAATAAAACCTGAAATGAAAATGACAACAGAGTAAAAAGCAATAAAAGAGAATAAAAAAAGCAAAATATAAAATTAAAAAAGATTTCAAACCAAGTTACTTCAAGATGTTTCGATTGTTAGTATCCACAATCATCTTCGGGTGATGACTGGACTATTCCTCCGAAAGATGACTATTTATAGGTCATTCGGGTGCTTTCATCTATCCCCTCTTCCCTCTCTCCACTTCACCAGTTTAGCGGAATTTGACCGTTTGGCGGCCGTTGATCTTTTTCCACTTGATTGCAGGTTTCCATATGTTGCATAACCTGTTGAGTTTATTATTTTCAACACTCTCCAAAATTTTCACATCAATAGTTCACCAAAAGATATATGTTTAACCATCCAAAACCTCCAAAGGCAAATTAGAGAATAGATTAATCGATTTTGAATCACTTGTGTTTAGAGTAGGAACAAACACCAAGAAGATTCTCATATTTTCATTTGAATGATGGATGTTCAACAACGAGTTGATTTTTTCAGTGTTAAGGTTGGTTTTGGGTTGATTGGATACATATCTGCGTTATAAGTAATTGAGTGTTTTTGTATAAAGTTTGTCTTTGTTTTTTTTGTATGTTTGCAAGTTTGAGTATTCTGACGATGAAAACCAGACATTGAGAAAATGGCTTCGATGTTTGTTACATCTGAAATATTCATGAAATGACAGATTTTTCGTGCAAATTTATCCAAATGTTCTCGAATCAGACATTTTCACGATATCCACCATTTATTTATTATAATAATTTACAGCTATAAAATGTGATGGGAATTTAAGTATTCCAGTTAGTTGTATTTTTTATCAATATCCACCTAGTGTTTCTTCATACAATTATTAGTTTGCAATATAATGAAATTTTGTTGATTTCACTGGATTTACTTGCTTTACTCAAATAGGTGTAAGTGGCTTATTACTTGTTCTGAACAAAATATAGGTATGGGTTAACTTCAACCTAAATAAAATTCTTAGTTGGGTGCATTTCAGGGTTTACCCTACATATAGAAGTTTATATATGTAACCTATTGTTTAAAAAAAATAACTTGTGCATGTCAAAAGTAACCAAATATATTTTCACCATTCATAAGTGTTACCAAATATTAATAACTATGGCTGTCTTTAATTTTCGCCAAGAGCGTTCACTAATATTAATAGAATTTTTTCATCTTTTTCTGTGAAGCAACTCAATGTTCTCAATTTCTTTGAGATGTTTTCTGTAAGTTGGCATCATCATCGTGTTTCATTAATGTATTTTATAATTGAAAGTTGTTTAGAATATCAAATTCCAATGAATTATAATTTGCTTCAAGTTTTGTATTTTGAACTCGTACCAGCTTTTGTAAACTGTCATATAAGCTAGTATTTGTTCAGCGCTTATATTTTATAACAAGTTACATCTGTGATAAGGTGTTAAAGCAATCTCTGAACTTGGAATAAATATCATTGATGTAATTGTCTCACTGAAAACTTCTGAGTCTTGAAATGAATCTTTAAATAATCAGTTTTAGATAACTCACCTCATATTTGCCAGCCAACAAATGACATTCCATAATGTGAATACTACTGCCAAATGTAGACCAATTGAAAATTTTTCTATTTTTATTCTTGAAACTTATTCAGAGCTATCATTGGCGATTAGTTATGTGAATTTGTGAATTATGTGAATAGTAGTTTCAACTTGATTTCGTGAAAAATATTGTTTAATATTGAATACTACTACCACTCCTGAAAGTGAAAAATCAATTTTGCTCGGTTTTCTGAAATTTTGCAAATAACTCCTGATTTATTATTTTCCAATTAAAATGTATTTGATTTTTTGTTTGTCTTTTCTATATGAACAGGAAACGTTCATCAGTTTTGGAGTTATAGCTGAAAATGTAATTTTAATATTTTTTATTCAATTTATGTGTCAGTGTATCTATCAATTTTTTTGCTGTTATTTTATATTCAGTACCACCTCTTGAAGAGATGTACAAATTAGTTGACTGTTGCACTTTAATTTTTCAAATTCCATAGATCAGTTTGAAATTTTTTGCAGCTATAATTTTGTTTTATTTGTTTTGTTTTTCGTTTAATGATGTTTTAAAGTGTTGATAATTGGGTAATAGTTAGTCTGCAGTAGTAAGTTTGTAAAAAATGTGTAGAATTGTTTTGTTCTTCAAGAAGAGGACATTTAACCACATCTTGTTTTTGTAATTTGCATTTGAAAAATGTATTCTTAAACTTTTATTCCACTAGCACATAATTTGTGTGAATTCACTTTAATTGTAAGTAGTTTATAATGAATTTGGAGAACACTAAAGGTTTGTCTTGATCGAAGCTCTCTAGGGTAATTTATTACATAGGTTGCACCTTTCCTACTCTTACACTTGTAAATAAAGATGGTTTGAAGGCCTGTTAAGAGAGAGAGAGAGAGCAAACACGTTCTAGTCGAGTGTAAATATGATAGGAATCTCATACTACTGATATTAAAATAATTTAATCTTAATACTAGGTGTTTTTTTATTAACAATTAAACAGTCCAGTATTAGCCTTTTTTCTTTTCACCTCATACCATCTAATTGCCATAAAAATGTTTTTTTCGATACCAGCTGTCCCCATAATATCGATCCTCAGAAGCCTTCCGAAGACTAATGTAAACTATGGAAGGACAGGGGTATTTTAAAATTTATTCAAAGGCACCTTTCCAGTAATTTTGACAAAAAAATATGTGAGCTCTCATGCTATTTTCCGCCACAGATTGAACTAGGTTTATGTTCTGTTTTTAATAATATCCAGGCCCGGCAACAAAAATATTAGGGCCTGCTACATGAGATCACACTCTGTGGGAAGGAAAACTATGGGGATTTCGAAAGTGGTGAAAGTTACAGAGATTAAATGGAAGCACAGCTACTCATTATGGAGCCCATTATTATGATGTTGAAAAATCCGTCCTACTTTGATAGAAAACTTTTAACAGAATAGATTTCCATTAACTGTATGCACTTTGTCATTGCGACTTTCAGTGGACTGTAAAAATATGCAATGAATGAAGTATTTAACAGGATTTTGTATTCCTTGAACCACCTCAAACTTTCGATTTGTAAATACTGACTAGTATTTTCATCTCAGTTTTTAATCATTCAGGAGATTTTCGTTGACGTAAAATAAAAAAATATTTTTAAAATTCAGATGTTTTTGGAANTGCCTTAGTACATCGAATGGATTAAAACGCTTGTTTTTCAGATGTAGAAACAAATTTGAATAAACGACCCTTCTCAAAATGGTAGTAAAGATAAAAACATGAATAAATGTACAGATATTGATAATTCAAGTTCTATTTATACATATAGATCAAACATTCGCTCTCAATGAAAGTCTTGTGGTATTTCGAACTGTAAGAAATTATATTTTACAGAAAGTCGACAAAGAAAATAGATATTTTCGAAAGATCAACTAAAACGATAAAATTCTTTAAAGCAGGTCAAATAGACTGCAACTCATATACATATGTAGGTATATATAATTCACAATATTTTCTGCTATAAACTTTTTGAAACACTGCTGAATCTTTGAAAATAATTTCGTTCTAAATAGATCAAAAACATAACATAATGTACAAAAAAAAATTTGGAAATACTTTTTCACGCCAATTAGGAATTTATTGACATCTGAAAACTCTCTAGTTATCTGTAATACATCAATTAGGACTCATTTCAATTTGGATTCATACTAATATATTTTTCGTTGCTGTATTAAATCAAATATGGACATTTCTGAAATAGCTTTCTCACAACATTTCGTATCAAAATAGTTTTGTTTATATTGGTTTGACATATATATTCACATATAACTGATACTTTGGATTTCTCCAACACCAATATCACTTACGAAACATTTCTAGATTATCAAGCCATATTCCCAACCTTGACAAAAATTAAACATTTTACAATTTTACAGCAATTTCTAGAAATTGGATCTCAAGTTACTCGTATCAAAGTGACCTTTTTTGATTCGGACGATGTGCCAAATAGAAAGCAAAAATGGAATTTTATGAGACATATTCTTCAATATTTTTTATTCAATTTATGTGTCAGTGTATCTATCAATTTTTTTGCTGTTATTTTATATTCAGTACCACCTCTTGAAGAGATGTACAAATTAGTTGACTGTTGCACTTTAATTTTTCAAATTCCATAGATCAGTTTGAAATTTTTTGCAGCTATAATTTTGTTTTATTTGTTTTGTTTTTCGTTTAATGATGTTTTAAAGTGTTGATAATTGGGTAATAGTTAGTCTGCAGTAGTAAGTTTGTAAAAAATGTGTAGAATTGTTTTGTTCTTCAAGAAGAGGACATTTAACCACATCTTGTTTTTGTAATTTGCATTTGAAAAATGTATTCTTAAACTTTTATTCCACTAGCACATAATTTGTGTGAATTCACTTTAATTGTAAGTAGTTTATAATGAATTTGGAGAACACTAAAGGTTTGTCTTGATCGAAGCTCTCTAGGGTAATTTATTACATAGGTTGCACCTTTCCTACTCTTACACTTGTAAATAAAGATGGTTTGAAGGCCTGTTAAGAGAGAGAGAGAGAGCAAACACGTTCTAGTCGAGTGTAAATATGATAGGAATCTCATACTACTGATATTAAAATAATTTAATCNACTCCAGTAATATTTATTTTTTAATGCCTATATTGGTATCAAACACTGGGCAAAACTAGAAATATGTGTTTGCAAAACTAATAAAAATCGAAAAAATTATGTCAACAAGTTTTTAGAATGAATCATTGACCTTACAACAGATGGACTAGCTGGCAGATGACGTTCTCGGCTGGTACTCTGAGGCAAAACTATAGATATTGTGCAAATCAAAATTTGTAGGTATAGTACTACTATATAGTTAAGTAGTATGTGCAAGAAAACAGTTGTTATAGTTGGTAATGTTCTTGAAATTCTGAAAATGATTTTCAGAGATATGTTCATAGGAACTTTTTCTCTTAAAACGACCTAACGAATCACCCTCTGAAGGTGATTAACGGGGTCTCTCAGTCAAAAAAATCGAAACTCTGCTCTACTTTGCCAAGCTTTCGCTTCTAATGGGAAGCTTCTTCAGGACAGTAAAAATGAGTCAAATACAATAAATTGAACATATAAATTGACGAAGAAAATTAAACATGCAATCCTAAGCGTGTTTAACTTTCTTTGTGACATCACAATGTTAGGGGTGGAGCACTCTCAGCACTTACGGGTATGAAAAATAGACTAAAACCTATTCTAAGACCTATCGAATATACATTTCATGAAAATCGGTCAGGCCACTTCCGAGGAGTACGGCAACTAACACTGTGACACAAGAATTTTATATATTAGATATAAGATTACTCTTTAGACAATAACGCATATTTACTATTATTATTACCATATAATAGTTTGCCAACTACACCAGAGGAGTGTATCTCTTTAAATGTCTTTAAGAGTCTGTGTTCAACATACATATTAAAAGCACGTAATAAAATTATCTACTAGATGGACTAAAAAGTTCGTAGGCTAACACACAGATGGCACAGAGTAGCCAATTGGATGTACATTCTAAAAAATTCGTAATGGTTGTGCGAGAATAAAATTCACTTTCTCCTCTCAAATGTGCTTGTGAGATCACTAACAGAGCTCAGGAACACACCAAAAAGATATATCAGAAATGCTTCGAGGATTGGAAAAAGGGCTGGTACAAGTGCACTACTTTGAAGAGGACAAAACTGAAATTGATGAATGAATAAACAATTTTTGAGAAAAAAGAAAATTCAGCATATTTTTTTGAACAGACCTCGTATAAAATCGTTAAATGGCTAACATATTTTGAAACCGTATTGAATCCGCAACTCAGTTTCAGTGTAGTTGATTCCCAAGAATTCGTCGAGAGAATTAAAGATATTAGGTTGGGATATGTTGGGGTTTTAGTATCTTTCAAAGTAACTTTGTTATTCCCAAGTGTCCCCGTATCAAAAACAATCGAATATCGAAAGGATATTTCGGAAACAAATGAACTATTTGGTAAAGTAGCCCAAGATTACATCCAGCTCGTAAAAATTTGCATGGGAAAGATCTTGTTCTAGTTCGCTGTTTTTTTAAGCAGCATGAAGGTACAACAATGGACAACCCGTTGTCTCCTTTCATGGCTAATCTGTTCATGAGCAGATTTGAAATTGAAGCAAGTGAAGCGTTAGATTTCTTTCCAAGAATTTGGATCTGATACTTGGATGAAGTATTTGCCATTTTCGACACAAAAAGGAGTGAGGTGAATAATTTTGTATCTTGTCTCAACAACAGGTCACTAATAACAAAGAGCTAACATTCCTGGATGTTCCAGTTATAAGAAACGACGATGAGGGTTTAAAATTTGATATGTATAGAAAAAATACTATCCCTTACAGCGCTCACCTTTGTCCAGTTCCCCTCAAGCAAACAAATATATGATGTCGAGAAAAATGTTATCAAATGAAATATCTGACACTAATGTTGACATAATAGTTGATGAGTTAACAACAATTTAGAGAGTATCTTTGTGAATCCTCGACTTTTCAAAAAAGTGAAGACTCAAAACTTATAGTTCCTCCATGTGAACATGGATGGATCCGGATTTTCAAAAAATTGAACATTGAAATTGTTTTCGAAACTGCTCATGCACTTCAACAAATGTTGAGCAATAAAGACAAGACAGTGGAAAAAAAAACTCTGATTTTTCAAACAAGCTGTACAAAACTATGTTAGTCAAACTCAGTAGACTATAATAACACACTACTAGGAGCATGTTACACTTATTGTTTCATAGACCAGAAAAATATAGTGTTGCTCAACATGCCTAGAAGAACGGCCACATGATAAGTAGGAATGCTTGAATTGTTGAGCCAGTACAGGATACAGATTCTTAGATGCCTTCAAAAGTTTAGAAATCGCCAAATGTGGAATGAGATGGACAGCGACAAAGTTCTCATTCCAAACAGCTCTTTTTTTACTTTTCTTACGTAAAAGTCAGGTAACAGTAGTCATTAATATACAAACAGGTGTTGAAATACAATAACAATATAACTCAATAATACTAAGAACTCATTAATGACCCTTATCTGATTGTCTTCATATTATGACCCTCATTTTCGAAGATAATAGTTCTCCCAGATGCATGTAAAACCTCTCAAATTAGTTGTAAGATTCATCTATCAACTCCCAATGATGCCAACTTGGTTAGCAAAACTCATTTCGAGAGTCAGTTTTTTTACTTTGATATAGAAAAAGTGTTTTCAATAGATTAATTTCTTGTAGTAGGTTCCAATTCTACCCACCAAGTTATCTGATATGTTCTACTGTTCATGTTGGAACAGATTATAGGTCTTTTCATACATACATATGTATGTTTATGATTATAGAAATAGTAACCTGATCTCACCAGAGTTCCCCCAGATTTCACTATAGTTTCTCTTGAATCTTCCTAGAAAAGTTGGGTCACTGAGGTACTAGTGTGATAGGTCTTGCACCACAGAATGCAGTTAATGTGGACTGGGATCCTGTTCAATAAAAAAAAAATCCCTCCTTCAGAAAAATGATATAAAAGGGCAAGTATGCCGTATGATTTGTAGTTCATATTGTAAAATGCAAAAGTTCATCTGGTTAATAATTCAATCAACTAAATACATTTCCTGTGTTAATGCTTATATTTGTGATGCACTGTTTGGAACCTTTGGTGTAGTAATGAATATTACTGGAGTTCAATTCCAACATCAAACAGTTATTTTTACACCTCGACACGTGTTTCAATCACCAGGTGATCATCTTTAAGAGGAAGATTAAACAGTTTAATCTTCCTCTTGAAGATGATCACTTGAGGCTTTTTCGATCCAAGATATAGCAACAGATCTCATTTTAGGCATTGTATCATAATGATGGGGTACATTCTTGGTTTCTTATACATGACTTTCAGCTGGTCAAGTGAGGTCTGATTAAGTAAAGCATAATATGAATATTTCAAGTGTTTAAAAAAATCTGTTTTTCTGTTAACTAGCTTTCGCACCCCTACGAACGACAACCCTCATAAGTAGAAACTTATGCGTTCTAAGGATTAACGAGGTCTTACCTTTTAACGTGTGATTCCTAACACGGGAACTTGGGCAAAATTTTTGAATGTTTACACTATACGTCATAAAAATTTGATGTGGTATTTATTCTAGTTGAATTTTATAATCCTGCTAACAGAACTAACAAAATTGTCCCTCGTAAAAAAGTAATTTAGTTTTAAAAATAGAGAAGGTAGTTCATTGTCCAACTACGTCTATCAAAAATATTAAAACTAAGTTGAACAATGAAACAAAAACATATCAGCCTGTTATCACAAATTCTTGTATCCCCATAAGTGAAAGTAATTTATTTTAGTAGTTTTTTTTCTATAATAATCATAACGGAAACATTACTCTCACAAAATCACAATTAACCCAAAACACGGAAAACAAAAGAAAACATAACCTGTGTTTCACATGTCCTGATTGGTTGTTTATTGTTTGATTAGCGTCAACATCAGTTGAAATATTTCCCTATTGTGTAAACAGTCTGCTGTAAGAGATATTTTATGAAAATTAAATGTTTCATAAAAATAAGGTATTGTCTTATTGAAATAGAGTTCCTGAAATAGTCAATTTTTTGACTTTGTAGTGGCTGTATCTCTGAAGGTAGACTAAAGAGTCAAGTTTTGACTTTAGATTCCTGATCAGCGGATCGATTCTGAATAAATCTTTTACAAAAATTAGAATAAGCTGTTGAAATGCATATTCAGCAAGATATTAATTGCTACCCAATAAGAAGCAGGAAGAGTTGCAATGCAACATTGACAATCCAACCATTTCAGGAAAGTAATTAAATTCAGCACTGTCTAGTGAGAACTTCTATATGTTTGGACCAATGAAGGAAATCTCTGATGAATTCGCATCAGACATTGCTGGATTTACTTACTTACTTTTCCTCAAAGATCTCTGTCTAAGAGCTCATCCATTAGTTGTAATATCCTTGGGAGTGTTCTATAACTTTTTACCTGTTTGCTGATCAGGTGTTATTTTCAATTTCATTTCTGGAATGAGTATCTCCAACGTTGCTTTAGCTGCCTCAGATTTGGCTTGTTTTTTGCTTGTTCCATATCCCACTCCATATAGCATATCTTTTATCTTGACTGTGGCAGAGTATGGTGTAGCAGCATTTTCCAATTCAGTGAACTGGTATGTCGGTTGTTTCTTCAAAGCATGTTGAACGTACTCATGCAAAATACAAACATACGACTTTCCATTAGGATTCATTATCCATTCTTTCTTGGATACACTTTCAGATGATTCTGAATTTCTAATGGGAAACGTTATGAGTTTCGTACCATCTGGCAGAGTAGGTCTTTGAAGCTGTTTTTCATGTTTGCGTCTCTTGGTGAATTTCCTACGTTCTGACCATGATTTAAATCGGAGGACCTTGAAGGTCTGAAATTCAAATAGTTTTCCACAATACTCTCTGATTTGCTCAGGGGAAAGATTTTGTGTGGCGATGTTTTCTTGAACCGTTTCAATTCTGGCATTTGGAAAGTTTTGGTCAGAATTGAGAATTTCACCATTTTCGAGGCAGGGTTCTGGTAGCTTTTGCTTTTCTTCTTCTTCTTTGGCTCTAAGATAACTGAGACAGGGAATAGCGTTAAGAGGAATGTGATGCTTTCTCGCAGATCCTGTACCTAAAAAATAAGGCCTAGAAAGAGTACACACTCTACTGGTTTTGTGTAAATATAAGGGCATTCCGCTGTTATGTGTAACTTGTATCCAACCTTCCGGCAGAACATCAAAGTGATTTTGATCTTTTTCAACTAATATCACCTTAACCTTCTCTTCAAAAGGTATATCATCATCAATATCCAAACCGGCATTCGATGCAGTTCGTTTTTTTCTTTCAAGTGCTTCTTCCAGCATTTTCTCGATCTCCTCATCGGGTACATCAGAGTCAAACTCAAAAGAATTATCAGATTCTTCATTTTCCAGAGTTTCGTCAAGGATGTGAAATTTATTGAGATCCGAATGACCATTCTCTATTTCAGCTGAGTGCAGGAAGGGGCAGACAGGCTCTTGGTCGTTTAACGGTTCGTCACACATTTCTCTAAGATACAAGGGGCACAATGGTGATGTTATGCTTCCACACGGTAATAATCAAAAGAATATCTCAACCAATTTCCAACAAAAAATTGAAATATTCCTTGAAAAGCACCGAGGAAAACTATTTTCTAATACTTGTGATTAGGTCACTTTTTTTTGGCGATTCAAATCTAGGTCTCCGTTAAGAAATTGATGGCCACAATATAAACATAAAGACAAGTTTTTTGACAAAAATCACTATCGACTATCACACAACAACGGCAATACATAGAATGAATAGAGAAAACAAATTATATATGTGACAATGTAAAAATGTCAAAATTTTAACAGTCAAGGAAATCTTTAAAGTACGTTCTGCTTCGTCATCGATCAACCTTTTTGTGGTTGTGTCACAGAATATTGTTTACTATTCTCGGACTATTCTGTGGTTCTGTTTAATGCTGCTTACAGACAGTGTTGCCACAATAAGAAAATTATATCTGAGAAGATATATGAGTTCAAATTTACCACACTTACACTAGAAAAGCGAATGGAATTGAATAGAGTTTCACTAAACATAAACATAAATAGGTCATCAATTGAAGAAATTACATTACTTTCTGTTGAAATTGACTAGAATTACAAATTTATTTCATGTTTCACGTAGTTAAAAATTCCGAATTTTTAGACCTGTCAATAAACGTACCCCTGGCAGTTTCTGGTGAACAATTGGATGGCATAAGTTTTCTTAAAGCTTTCCAAATGGGGAGTTACTGTTTTATTTGGGAAATCTCTTCTCTGAACGTGACATGCTGCACTCTTTTGATTGAAATAAGAAAAGCATTGTGCAATTACCCATGGTAAAAGCGTTTGATTTTATTTTCCCTCGACTCAAACTGACGCTATTTCCCAACTCTCGACTCCTATGCACTCAGTATTAACACTTGAACATTTTCCGATCTTGGCTTCCCTTTCATATGTACCGGATTCAGATCTGTCCCAAATCGAATCGAATAAAAGTTTATAACCTCAGAGTATTAAAAAATATACTCTTTGAGTTTATAACACACTCAGTATATCGAAACAGTTGATAGTATTAAATGTTAGTGTTGTATAAATAGTGGAGTATTATTTTCACCCTATCTATTCAAATAAAATAAATTTACACATAATAGAAGCCGAAACTGTAGAACACATCAAATATAATCCTTTGAACTTTGGCAACTGGAGAAGGAATTGTAGCAGGATATTTGCATAAGGTAGTATCATGAATATCTGCATACGTTGCAAGGACGTCACAAGTGGCTAAAAATGATAAAATTCAATTGATAGGTGATGTTTTTTGATGAAAAATCAGCAACATGATTGGTTGCTATACATGATTGGTTGCATCTTTCGATGCAACCAACTGATCTTCAGCCTTTCCCGTTTCAGTAAATGTTCACATTTATTTATTGTATCATTCTGGGAATAAAGACCTATTATTATTATTATTATTATATCGTGAACGCAAATCAGATCGAATTACGTCACGTTAGAGTGAACAAACGAATAGTACAAACATCTAGTATAATATAATACAATTACACTAGATGTCGCTAGTTTTCCTCATATTTGACTGTTTTCTTTTGCTGTGTTGTTAAAGCAAAAATGAAATAATGTGAGCCATAAAAACATTCACCATTATTGATTATTTATTATTAACGTAAAAGATTGAACTATTATTGATAATAGATTGAACTATTATTGATAATAAAACAACGATAAAAATAAAATAAAAACAACAATAAAAATTAATCGGCGCTCCGGGGCGACTTCATTGATTCCATTGGCGCATTTGATAATTATTTATAGTTGTAGTCGAGTTTTTTTTAATTTTCATGAGAGAAACATGTGTAACACAAGCGATTAGGGAAAGTCATTGGAATTCCAGTTCAAATCGAGTTGAATCGTGGGCAATTCTCAAATTTGAATATATCTGAGCACCACATCAGTTATTTGAGAAACTAAAAAATACATGTGTTTCTCTATATGGAGGGTGTAGCATGGAAAATATAAAAACACAGTGGTTTTCAATACATTAAACTTGATATTCAATGTTATAGACAATATCGGAAAGAATTAGAACATGAATGAATGTTTTATGTTGTATTTGTCATTAAATGTCAGCTGTCATATGCAAAGGATGTATGAGGAATTGACCCTTTTGACCCAATAGCCCCAGTAGTTCAGGCCACTATATAAAGAAGACGAAAAACAGACAAGTTTAGCATATACATTTTATCATAAAAAAATATTTGAANACATACCTAAGACAAAAAAACTCACAACACAATTATGGCACATTTCATGTATATATATAAAACCAATTGTGTGTATTAAATAATGAACTAGAATAAATAAAACTAACTTTTCAAGTTAAAAAGTCTAATTTTCCAAATTGGCAGTCGATATACTTGGAACAGCCTCAGCTTCATCCGTGTTTAAAATTCCTATCGGTTTCACCAATTTTCGTTTATCTCTGAGCTTGCCTAATTCTACACATAGTTTATTCAGTATGGCATAGTTTGGTTGGTTGATAGCTGCTTTACTCTGCAATGACGTGATTTCTTGTTCCTCCATCTTCTTTTCTTTGAAGCTCTTCACTGACCTATTACCATACAGCCGTAGAAGTGAGCCCCACGATGTAATACTAGGGTGTAGAAGTTGGAGAATAGCTTGAGAAGCTCTCTGCTTGCCATCCCGTTTATTTTTACAAGCCACTATAGCCCTGTGTTCATTAACGACCATGGTATATTCATTACCATGATTTTTAGAAGTCTTGCCATTGTAGTAGACCTGCAGAGGTCTCCTTCCAAAGTTCCGTTGAAGGCATGTCAGCAATATGTCGTATGGAGGAGGCTCTGTTGTTTTGGCACAGAATTCAGCAACACGGGGATCCTCCACCCTGATTTCATCGAAGTAGGATAAATCCTGGTCCTTGAATTTTGTGGTATCACCTGAAAACATTTGTTTCTAGGTAAGCCACAAAAAATTCCTTACATAATACCAAATACTGGGAAATATTCAGACTAATAGATAAGGCAACATTGTGAAATTAATTTAAGACAAGACGCAGATACAGAGGTATCTAAGGTATAACTAAGGACAACATGTAGATTTAGTTTAATCTTAGTCTTGAAGATGGTCACATGGTGATTGAAACACGTGTTGAGGTGTTGAAAATAACGGTTTGGGATAGAACTCCAGTAATATTAATTACTGAAACAAAGGTTCCAAACAGTGCATCATAAGTGCTTGAAACATTTGAGAAATTTCTGCCATAAATTGGATTTTACTGACTTGACAGCTGACAGAATTCATATTGAATTTCTGATGAATATATCTGTTACCTCAACAGGTGAATTATGTGGTTCTAGTCTGAATAAAGTTACTTATTGAAAAGTACTTTTACAATGCCTAACATGCTCTTTTTAACAATACCATGTCCTAAGCAAAGGAATTCTCTTATGGAGTGGATCTGCATATGTTGATAACATTCTCATAATGCAAAAAAGTGCAATGGAAGAAATAATGAATTCAAAATTTGTAAAAAAGATGTCGTGCACTATTAAAAAACTAGGTATATTGTCTGCTTCAAATCAATTACTTGTTGCCGAGGAAAACATTAAAGCTATATTTACTAGCCTTTGACGTCCGTGAATTATTACACGAAAATATTGTATCTCATTCAGACTATTCACTGATTTTATATTTTGTATACATATTTTATTCAAGTATTAACACGTTTAGCACGGGAATAAAGAAAATAAATGGTCCCACAGACGGTCATTTTATTTCAATATTTCATTCATTATGAACCTAATACGAACAATACTGCAAGATTCGGTCGTGGGTATACATATACATTTTTTACAAATTTTATCAATTTTTTGAAGCATCATATCTGTGTCTCACGACTTAACCAAATAATCCATCTACAGAGATGGTGAAGTTTCTTCGCTATGCCACGTTTTGCAAGTTTATACAACTTGATAGTTCTTACTGAAACCTCTGGCGTAAAATGAATCTATTGAAAACACTTTCCAACACCAGAACAAAATTACGGTCTCTCGACGCGCGTTTCGCTATCCTCCGGAGATCATTATGACTTATACAAGTTTAAACCTTTGGATAAATTGATGGATGTAGCCGATACTACGTGGTAGGAAATCATAATGAAAAGAGAAATGAAAATTTCTATGTTTTTCACCACTTTTATTTGTAACTAACATTACTGCAGTTTCGTCCTATACGGACATGTTCAAACTTATACAATACCTTAGGTTTTCGATAAACTCTACCGGCGGGTGACCGAAGAATAAACACAAGTTTTAACGTACATAATGGAAATTGGTCACTACGAACGTGAACAAGAAACTCTTGACTAATTGTGGGCAGAACTTAGGTCTGACGAAGACGACGAGTGAGTTCGGTGATATATATTTGTCAGATGAATATCAACCAAGTGATGAGAACTGCAGGCGTGATGCAAATTTACCAAATAAACACCAAAAAATTCATGAAAATATTACCATAAACAACATGAATGATCCTAGTTCGTCCATCTTGAGGCAGATCAGAAATTTGGATAGGCAGGACCATTTGGTGAGTATTCACCTATTTTTATAATAGACAATGTAAAATTCTTGTGACATTTTTCTTCAGACTGATGACATCATAGAAAATGTTATAATACACTATATCGTTGAAGATGAAAACGAAGAAAATTCTATTCCTACTCTGGACAATACTGATTTACAGTGGGGAACTGTCTCATAGGGCCGCATTTTCTTCCTCCTTGACTCAATGGTGTGACATATAGACGATTTCTAGAAGACACATTGCAAGAATTGTTAGAGGATGTACCTTTGCTAGTAAGAAGAAATTTGTGGTTTATGCACGACCGGGCTCCTGCTCATTTCAGTGTAATCGCTTGCAGATATCTTACTGATACTTTTGCTCACTAGTGGATAGATCGTGGGGAACCTGAAATTTGTAGATTATTTCTTTTGGGGATATCTCAAATCGCTTGTTCATGCGACACCAGTTATCGATGAAAATGATTCGAGAAACAGAATTAGACATAATTCTAGTGTCAGATTTTCATTTCGAAGTTTGTTCAAATGGCGACGAATATCAAAACACATTTTTGAACTTAAATGATGCGTAATCCTCATTTCGACGCCATTGACTCTGATTCGATAAAGTTTAGCTATTTCAAATAATATCAAACTGAGCGAAAACAGTGGCGAACACTGATTTTTACCATAAATATCAATCAAGTCACCCTCTGCGACGCCACTATAGAATTGAAATTCCAAATCTATATTCATGAAAAGAAGCCCCTTGTTACTCATAACAAACATGTGTAGTTTAACCAGAATCGACGAAAATAATTGTGAATTATAAATAAAAAAACAATATTTTTAGTAAAACTTTGACACATAAAACTCACTTTCTCTTCTTTAATGTGCTTGTGAGGTCGAAATTTGAATATTGAAGTGTCATATGATATGGTACCCTGGTCACACACATCACATAGGTACACATCAATCGACTATAAAATATACAAAAGCGATTTTTGTTAGTTAGTGAAGCTGAATGTCTAATCATTTAATAAGTCAGAAACAATGATCACATGTATCAAAAGTTATTGAAATCGGATAAACATATGTGTTTCATGTGCTTCAAAAGAAATCCATACCCGAAATCAATGTTCTCCATGTTTGTGGTAGTCTCTGCCTGAAGATTTTTTTTTTTCAGGCCAGGATAATTCGGGAAGCAATAGAAATTGAAAAACGCCCCAACTGCCTTAAGATGCGAGATGATTCGCAGAGACTACCACAAACATAGAGAACATTGATTTCGCGCAAGATACCTGAGAATAACTCAGGTACCCGGACAGATAAACCAGATACCTGCTACAATAACATAAATATGGGCCCCGAACAACAGAGTGACCAGTACGAACTTAGAGTGGAACACAGCACACAGAAATAGTAACGAGACTTGGGGACAAGGGAGATTACAACCTTGTTCTCAAGTCATGTAAGTACAAATCTAAGTGATTCTTGAGAATGGCTCCAAAGCAGGAGCCGAAACGATGGAAATTACAGACGCGGTTCAACCCGGACAACAGTATATCAAATTACTGACCGCGGAAACCTATCCGAACATTATCTGCGAGCGCTTTCGACGGCTGGTCGTGCTGTCATTCTCTAGGCACTATTCTATGTGCAGATAAAATAGTGCCTAGAAACAAATATGTCCTTTGTAAAAATAGTCATTTAGTTTCAACAACATTAAGTTGAGTACCTGTGTTAATACCTTCAGTGGTATTTAGATATATACGGGCTAATATGAATTATTTTCAGTTTATTGTATTACTTTGAAAATGTCCTTATAGGAGGAAACTGCAGTAACGTAGTTACAAATAAAAGTGGTAAAAAACATAAAGTATTATTTCTTATTTTTCATGTCATTAAATAGTGTGCTGTAAAAGATACCTTGTAAAGAAAATTGAATGTTTCATAACAATAAGGTATTGTCTTACTGAAATTGAGTTCCTGAAATAGTAAATTTTTTGACTTTGTAATGGCTGTATTTCTGAAAGTAAACCAAGAGTTAAGTTTTGACTTCAGATTCCTGATCACTGGAGTAAGTCAATTAAGTCTTTTACAGAAATTAAAATAAGCTGTTGAAATGCATATTTAGCAAGATATCAAATGCTAACCAATAAGAAGTAGGAAAAGTTGCAATGCAACAGTCCAATCATTTCAGGAAAGTAATTAAATTCAGCACTGTCTAGTGAGGATTTCTATATGTTTCAAATGGACCAATGAAGGAACTCTGATGAATTCTCATAAGACATCGCTGAATTTACTTACTTACCTTTTCTCAAAGACCTCTCTATCTCTCTTTGAGAGCCCATCCATCAACTGTAATGTTCTTGGGAGTGTTCTATAAACTTTTTACCTGTTTGCTGATCAGGTGTTATTTTCAATTTCATTTCTGGAATGAGTATCTCCAACGTTGCTTTAGCTGCCTCACATTTGGCTTGTTTTTTGCTTGTTCCATATCCTACTCCATATAGCATATCTTTTATTATGACAGTGGCAGCGTACGGTGTAGCAGCATTTTCCAATTCAGTGAACTTGTATGTAGGTTGTTTCTTCAAAGCATGTTGAACGTACTCATGCAAAATACAAACATACGACTTTCCATTGGGATTCATTATCCATTCTTTCTTGGATACACTTTCAGATGATTCTGAATTTCTAATGGGAAATGTTATGAGTTTCGTACCATCTGGCAGAGTAGGTCTTTGAGAGAAGTATTGTCTTGGTGATAACTTTTGGTAGGGACCTAATTATTTAGTGTATCTATGTTAGGCCGAATTAGAACAGTTCCACTAATCAAATAAATCATTGAAAAGCTTCGAATACATTAGCAGTTTGCTTTTTCGAAAAAACCTGAACTTGTGTATGTAGCCTTGACCTATCATGAAAAAACTTCTGGGCTTTCTTCTCTTCATAAATATCTGTAGTTTGCACTACAGATATTTACGAAGAATTTTTATTGCAGTCATTTTTGGAAGTTTCCAATAACAAATTCCACAAAAAATTATTGTAGTTGGAAAAAGTGATTTTCTTGTGATTCAATGTAATTGCTTTCGTGCAATTCAATGTTTTACAGTTATACGTAAAGATACTTGTTTCAAAAGGATTTTTTCCACTTTATATCTGGAAGAAACTTCAGAGTATGCACTACATTAGGAGTTTTTGTCGTAGTTATTTTTTTCTTCCCTTCGTTAGTTTCCAACACTTACACTTGTAAATAAAGA